TCTCTAGCAGAGCTATTTCACACAAGTGACTGACGCCCGTGAGCTTACACAATGTTCCTCCATGTTCTAAGCAGTCGCTACCTTTGCTGCGTCGACAAAAAAGTGAAAATCCTGGCCCGCTCTCTTCAATCCATCGATATTGGGAAGGGCGTAGTTCACAACGGGGCCAAACTTCTTCTAACTTGGACGTGGACCGGAAATGTGTTCTTCCGACTGAAATGCCAGTTCACCTGTCGAACTCGGGTCAGTAGATTTGTACAGGTGTCCAAGTACCACCCTTCCTGATCATGGTTCGAAACATACAGACGAAGAATCTGGACGGGTGTTCAATTTGATGGATACACCAGAACTGCAGCAGCAGTGTGTGTAAGTTCCAGCCAAAACTGGAAAACTAGAATCTTGGTTTCTTTTCGTTTGCTGTTTTTTATCGGAGCAAAGTGCTTCGTGCTGTCTTCCGGCCCACCCCATGTAAAATCAAGTTTTAGCACAAAGTGTGCAGCATGTGTGTGCAAGCACCAGCTGAAACTCACTTTTTGGAAAAACCAAAAAGAGTGAAAGTGTCGTCTGGACTTGTGTATGTCGTGTGTGACTCGGAGCTGAAGATGCAAGAGAGCTTGAGTAACATGCACACATGGAGTCTGGCTGCCCATCCGCACTTCTTGTGACACAGTGTCTCAGCTTTGAAGCTTTGTGTCAATTTTTGATTTGACACCAACAGCACGTAGGTCGAAGATTGGAAGTTTTGGGTAGAAAGTTTCTTGCAAGAGAAGACATGCATTTGGATTTGTTGCATGTGGCTGCATTTTTTTTTTGACATATTTTGTCATGTGGCTTGCCTTAAAGTTCTTTTGGGTTTCGAGTTATCTTGGAGCCTACCCACTTGGCAAGTTTCAGCACAAAGTGAAAGCANNAAAGCAGCAGACGTGGATTTGGCAGGTTTGACTCGAAGTGAAAGCAGTTATGGTTGTAGAGGCCTTAGACCTTCAGTAAACAGAGCAGACATGGATTTTGAAGCTTCGACACTCCAAACTGCGAACCCTAATCCATGCGCAGTGAAAGCAGGCATGATTTTACCTGGACCCACAGCAAAAGTAGCAGCATGGATTGTGGATCTTGAGGTTTGGGCCCACCGTGAAAACAGCATGGCAAATTGTTTTGGCTTTGTCTGGTTAAAACCCGGTCGTTTCACCCAGTACAGCTCATGCTTGGTTTCTTTTGGTTTGCTGTTTTACCGGAGCAAGTGCTTCGTACTATCTTGGGGCCCACCCATGCAAAAGCAAGTTTAAGCACAAAGTGTAGCAGCAGTGTGTGTAAGTCCAGCTGAAACTCACTCTGGAAAAACCAGAAAAGTCAAAGTGTCGTCTGGACTTGTTTATGTCGTGTTTGCATGAAGACCCGGAGCTGAAGATGCGAGAGAGCTTGGGTAAATGCACACATGGAGTTTTAAGTGTCACAAAGTTTGTTTTACCGTTATGTGCTGGTATGCTTGGCCGATGGTCAATCTTGGCTGCGCATCCGCACTTTGCTCTGACACAGTGTCTCAGCTCAAAAGCCTTGTGTCGATTTTGATTTGACACCAATCGCACGCGGGCCTAGGCCCACAAGCGTGGCTCGCAGGGCGCTTCCAAGAAGTTTGGAAACTCTTCGGAAGCCGCCAAGGCAGTTGGTGCAGAATCTCTACAAACAGTTTTGCTTTTGTGGGATACCTGTCACTGTAATCGTGCCTCTTGCAAGAAGTGGACATGCAATTTGGATTTTGTTGCATGTGGCTGTGACTTTTTTTTGCATATTTTGTCATGTGGTTTGCTGCAAAAACCACAGAAAGGGTACACTTGAATTTTGAAGCCTCACACGCTTGAGTTCTTTTTGGTTTTCGTGCGATCTTGGGGCCCACCCACGCAAGAGCAAGTTTCAGCACAAAGTGAAAGCAGCAGACGTGGATTTGGCAGGCTTGGACTCGAAGTGAAAGCAGTTGTGGTTGTAGGGGCCTGGGCCTTCAGTGAACAGAGCAGGCATGGATTTTGAAGTTTGAGCCCGCAATGCAAGTAGCAGACATGGATATTGAACTTAGAAGCAAATCCTAAACTTCGACACTCCAAACTGCGAACCCTAAATCCATCCGCAGTGAAAGAAGGCATGATTTTGGAAGCTTGGACCCACAGTAAAAGTAGCAGCATGGATCGTGGATCTTGAGGCTTGGGCCCGCCGTGAAAGCAGCATGGCAAATTGTTCTGGCTTTGTCTAGTTAAAACCCGGTCGTTTCACCCTGTACAGCTCATGCTTGGTTTCTTTTGGTTTGCTGTTTCACCGGAGCGAGTGCTTCGTGCTATCTTGGGGCCCACCCATGCAAAAGCAAGTTTAAGCACAAAGTGAAAGCAGCAGACGTGGATTTTGCAGGCTTGGACTCGAAGTGAAAGCAGCAATTGTGGTTGTAGAGGCTTGGGCCCGCAGTCAAAACAGCAGGCATGGATTTTGGAAGTTTGAGCCCGCAGTGAAAGCAGCAGACATGGATATCGAGCTTCGAAGCAAATCTTAGACCTCGAAACGCCCAAACCGTGAACCCTAAATCCATCCGCAGTGAAAGAAGGCATGTTTTTGGAGCTCTGGATCCCTGGCAAAAGTAGCAGCTTGGATGGGAAAAGTTGGTAGCAAATTCGAAAGCTTCAAACCCTAAAATCCCGACCATGTGCCGTAGTTTGTTAGCAGGCCTGAGAACGCTTGCCTGCGCACGCCAAGCGTTGCCACAGGCACCAGGCTGGGGAACGCTTGCCTGCACACGCCAAGCGCAGCTGGCGCCGCAAGCGCGCGCTATTCCTTCCAGCAGGAGTACGTCGACCGCACCGTGAGCTTCAAGGACTCTTGGCCGAGAGGTGTCAAGAGGTGAGACGTTTCCAAGACCAAGTGATGGAGCTGAGAGAGGAAAAAAGGCTTTCAGAGGGAGCTTGCGGCTGCAAAGTTCCGAACAGGTGGACTTCGTACAGTGCCGCCTGAACAAATTGTCGTTGCTCCTGCTAGGGGCGGCACAGCATGTGCCTGGATGTGGGAACATCAGAGATTCCACAACCAGGGTATATACCCCATGCCGTCAGTGTATGAACAGGCTGGAGTAGATGTAAAGGTTTTTCCGTTTGCGTGATTGGACTTGAAGACAGGAGAGTCAAATCACGAGGTGGGGTGCAAGACATGACACCCTGCCCTTTGTACACACCTGCGTTGCATCTGAAGCCCTTTTGGATGGAAATAAAAGAATTTTGCAAAAACTGAGAGAAACAAGTTGTGCAAGTCGCCCATAATAACCAGTGCGTGCAAGCACAGTTGACGGAAAAGGCCATGTTTGGTGGACGCTTATCAAGTCGATAGGACCATTTGCCGCAAATTGTGCAACTGCGCTTGCGGCGGCGCTTCGCAAACAAATGTTGAGCAGCTGTTTTGGATTTGAGTCATGCCAGTGGAGACAGATGTGGTGCTTCTTTGATTTTGACTTGCTCTTTTACCGTCGCATTTGAGGCCACATCACGCCGAAAAAACGAGGACCGTTACTTGCAGAAGTGCGTTTCCAGCGGCGGGTTCTTTCCACAAAAGGGCGTTTCCTGCAAAAGACACTTTCCTAACAAGCCGCAGCTGTTTTCCCTCCCGCAGCTTGGTTCCTTCATCAGGAGTTTCCGGCCCACCACCCTGTCACCACATCGAAACCAAAAACACGGTTGCTTGCATGCTGTTTTTGTTCGACTTCGCAGACCCTCGACGTCGGTTCAAAATTGAAAACCCGGAAGCAACAACAAGAGCAGTCTTGCTGTTTGTTTTGGTGCGATCCCTCCTCTCGTGGACCGTTGTTTTGTTATGCTTTCAAGACCGATCCTTGCCAAAAACAAGACATTTGACGTTTTCGACTCCTGCTGCTTTGCTCGCACTTCCGGAAGTCATGCAATATGTCGTGATAACATGGTCCGGAGTCTGTTTCCTTTCAGCAGTTCGCCAACACGGCAGCCGAAGCTGGGAAGTATCCATTCTTGTTGGTGCAGTCATGGAGACGGCAGCTGCAGCTTGTGGGTTAGCAAGATAAGTTTTGGAATTCATCGTATCCTAGCGAATCATGATGTAAACAATGCTTGTTGCATTCCGACAAGCATGGCCGCTGTGGAATCAATGTCATGCAGCGCAAGTCGTGGCCTTGCGCGTGCAGTGCATGCCTTTATGGCTGTCAAAAAAGCAGACTGGGCGTCTCATCTATCTCGAGGATGTTGTTTGTAGCATGTTTTGCCAAGCTGGTAGACTTGTTCGACAACCGTGCAAGGCGATTTGGCGGAAGCTGTTCAGGACTGTCACTTCATGTTAGTTGCTTGATGATTTAGTTTTTGCATGATATAGTGCCGTTTCGTTTGTGGCTGCTTCTGTTTGTGGTGCATGTCTGCATCAGACCAATGCCCGCTGTTTAGGACCCAGATCAGATTGTTCGCCTTTTATGTGCTGAGCTCAGGGACACAACGATTCTGCTAGTAGTGCTCAATCGTGCTGTGCAAACCGGGCAGGCGAAGTAGATTGGTTCAGGCAACATGGTGGCTTTGCAAAGTGTGCGGACATGCTGAGGTCAAAAGTTTTCAGAACTTATGGACCGTGTACGGGTCGCAGAAGCTCGTCACACAGAAGTTCGCACCAGATCGGTCGCCTTGCAGTGTGGGCCTTAAGGAACCGTCCGAGCAGGCTGAGAGCACACAGACAGCAATCTGACGGTTGTTTTAGACCGCAGGCGACATGTTTGTGTGTGCGTTTGCAAACAGAGGAATGCTGGCTGCGAGCACGGTCTAAGCTATTGTTTTCATTTCTCAAGCATGATCCATACTAATTACTGTGTGATGTTCTAGCTGATCCGACGGATTTCACGTTCGGTTTGCTCTCATGGCTTCGTACTTGTAACTTTTTTCCATCCGGTTGACAAGTCCAATTCTCTCAACCGATCTCTGGAATTCCCCTTTGCTGTTCAGTAGCAGCACGTTTGCTGGGTTCATCGTGTCTAGATCTTCCCCATGATCACAACGTGGGCACTGGAAAGCACCATCTGTCGGACCAGTTCCCTTCACTGCGACTGGGCAGTGACACCGTGTTCACGGTTAACACGAAATCCACGGCATTCAGCACCATTCAATTAGAAGTCTTGTTTTGGCTTGGCTTGACGATGTATCAGGGTCGTCAGGTCTTGCATGTGAGTTGCATTCTACCGCAGTAACTCCTCGGAACGGTTTCGGTCGCTCTTGAAGATCAAGGTTGCGTCCCGAAGATTGAACTCTGACTCTCCTCGCAAGTTCCTTCACCGTGAATTTGAGGTTCCGTTGCTTCGAGCACGAAAGCCTCCAGTTTCATGTATGGAATGTATGTTCTTAAACAAGCTCATGCAGTGAACTGTACAGGGACCTAGAGCATGGGGTTTTCTTTCACTGTGGCACTTTGTATGTGCGCAATTCAAGCAGACAAGTTCTGACCAGGCAAGAAGTGCGAGAGCGTGCAAGCGCACGACAGGCCACAGCTTGTGCACAACTTGAGCTCTTCTTGGTGAATGTACGAGGGATGTCAGACACTTGTCACCTCGCTCAACGTTCAAGGCCACGTCTTCGCAGTCGGGGTCTTGGTTGCCTTAGATGGACGACTCTAGTTTGTGCCTGTGCATCCAGGTGATAAGCCACCGTTACAAGTCGAGCGCACTAGATGATTCAGTCCAGAACTTGCTGAGCTGTGTTGGGTTGAGATGTTCAAGGATGCAGAACGCACTGCGGACACAGCTGGCAGAGGCTGTCGGACAAATGTGGAGGAAGTGCATGATTGGTTTGAACCCGTCCTTACTGTAGTCTTTGCTGTCAAATCAGGTCTTTCATGATAGGTAGTCGAAACTTAGCAGGGTTGCCATTAATGCTTTTTTGTATGCAAGTGGTTGAATTCCAGTCAAGTCACAGTCTGTCATCCACGGGCTGTTTTTCGCAATTCTTATGGCGCCGGCGGGTCGACTAAGCTTGCACCAGGCTGAAGCAGCGCAGCAGCGGCTTAAAGAAGCAAGGCCTGGAGTCGGCAACCCGTTGCATTGTTCGAATGCGTTTTCTTTGCGTACTTGTGCTTCCTGTCCCTGACTGAACAACTGCTTTGCAGAAGTGCAACCTCTTGGTCCAGGGCCGGCACAGACTTCGTGGCAACTGAAGTAACGCGAGCCAAAGAGGTGCGGACGTGATTTCACCAAGCGAGGAAGCAGCGATGTGGTAGGGGGGTTCCGAGTTTAGCCGAGGCCGCTCTAGCGACCAACATGGATTGTGAGCGGCTTAGCTCGTGTTGGCCTCAGAGCATCAGAGGCCATGTCTTGGCCGGCTTTTTGTTTCATGCATAGACAGGCAGTGCCGGGAGGAACAGAAGACCTTGCAGGCTGGGAGCATCGGCCCAACATCTCTTTCACAGCGCAAAGGCGATTTTGAGATCCGTGAGCTCTTGCAGGAGACCGCGGACCAAATCCAGGAAGAGGAAGCATGGTACTCCAGGCAAGCAATGCCTAAACAGGATAGCATCCTTTGATGTCGGTTCGATTGATGTTCTGCTTGCTTTCATTGGTCTTCCATGTTGTGACTGACCTCATCCGTCCTGTGTAGGTGTGAGCGTGAGCGGCAGCGGCTTCGGGCTGAAGTGGAGGCCAAGCCAGCCAATCATCCAGTACACAAAGCGGGTTTTGTGACGGTCTCGAGAGCTGCAGAAGATCTGTTGCAGAGGCCGTGATGCAACGGATATCCTCGCAAGAAGAGGACTTGGCCGCAGGCTGGGCCACAAGTGGTCCGTCGGGCAAGTGGCAGAGTGCGCGCAGCTGCAGCGCAACTAATCTGCTGCGCGCCCAGGTTACGAGCGTGACCAAGCCCGCCGAGCTGGCTTGCGCGAACTAGAGACGAGGTTGGCAGATGCAGGCGCGCGGTGCGTGGTGCAAATTGACATTCTTGTTTCTTCTGACACAAGAAGCCCCTGAAAGACTCGCTGGTCCGGCTGAAGCCGGTCCGGCTGCAAGTTTGTTTCTGGAGTGGAGGCTCTGTAGTTAACTCCGCTGAGGCCGCCAGCGGCAGGTGGTGGAGAAGCGAGTGCAGACCATGGAGGAGCTGCTCTAAACACTCAAAACAACCCTGAATCTCGGCCTAGGCCCTAGGCCCTAGGCCCCCAAACCCTGATTCCAAGCGTTCTCGAGGAGGAGCTGGTCAGCGCTCAGAAGCAGGTGCAGAACTCAGGGTGAGAAGCAGCAGTTCTTTCGAAGCTACTGGTGGGGGGGGAACCGCGGTTGAAGTTGAATTCCAACGACTCCCCAATGTGCCTTCTTGCAGTCCCACAAGGACTGGGATCGTGGCCTTGAGCCCAGGTCAGCCTGTACCAGGAGCGTCTGGAAAGCCTTCAGCAGAAGCTGCTGTCGGCGGAGGAGGCTCGGCTTCGAATCTGACAACACACTCCATTTCCGGGAATCTCCGATGATCTCCGGGGCCCGGCAGGAGCTGCAGCAGGAGAAGCTTGGCCTGGAAGCCCGCAGCCGAGAGAGGCTTCTGTTGGAGCAGCAGGCGGGCTTGTCCACAGTGGCACGGCAATGTGAGAACCGCGGAGCAGTACATGCAGGAGGCCGTGGCGAGGGAGGGCCTCGAGAAGCTTCGATCTCTGAAGGCAGGAAGGAGGTCTCAAAGTTTATCTCTGAAGGGTCTCGATGGAAGGTGCAGCTGGAGGAGGCCCTGAAAGAGAATGTCGAGGCTCACAGCCAGCTGAAGGCACGACTCTGTCTGTCGTGCTGGCCGCATCTGGCCATGGCAAGCCCGCTGGAGACTGAGGCCGCGACGTTGGCGCAGCAGGCGTCCGAGGAGCTCTACGCGGCTCTCGATGCGAGGTCGGAAAGACAAGATCTGCATCTTGATGAGACACTTCCATGTGAGAAAGTTCGTGCATCCCGGAGGCACAAGGAGGCACTGACCCGCCTCTCGAGCGCCGCCGAGGGCACTGCGGCAGCCACGGCAGGGCCCCGAGTGAGAGTCGCAGATTTGGTGCGGGTGTCGCCTTGTTCCAGAGAGAGCTGATCCGGTCGTCCTGCTGCTCCGTCACACTGCCATGCGAGAGTTAAAGGCGGACCTGGAGCGTTGGCAGCAGCGCCTGCAGGCACGTGCTCAACCAGACGACACGGCAGACGTGATGGCAAGTATCACGGCAACACACACTTAGTGACAGCAGATAACAGGAAGGAGCATAGTAACAGCAAGCTAGCAAAGGCAAGTCGCAGATCTCGCAGTCTTGTCCGGTCCGAGGAGCTCATGCGAGAAAAAGCTGCGAGATGTAACCGTTCACAAACTTGTTGACATGTGCATCTTCATTGCAGGGTATCGGTGATTCTGTCCGCCAGCAGAGGCCGGCCGGGGGAAAACATTCTTGATTCCTGATGGCCTTCTCACTTAACTCGCATGCCCCTTTTTCCCTCAAAGCAGTGCCGGGACCATTTCTCCAGATGCGAGCTTGAAGAACCTGCAAAGGAGGCTTTTACGACTTTTCCAGGCTTCGCTCCTGCCTCTGAAACACCTGCGACAGAGGCCAACCATCCTCCTTCCTCTCTTGATTATTTCGCGGTGCCTCGCGCTTCTCTTCCGCATGCTTTGTGCAATCTTTCTGGATCGAACCTCAGCAGAAGATCGCATGTGTTTGGTGTTGGAAACAGAGGTTCTTCGAGATAAACAACCGGCACAAGGGTTCTTGGAGTGTTCTGCCACCTGATAAACAACCAGCACAAAGTTTGTAACGCATATTGTATGCTTTCGGAAGGGCTTCTGTTCCTGGTTTCATACCAGACTACTGTGCTGCAGGCAGCACGTCTTGACGCTTGAACTTGTCTGGTAGCATTGCAGAAGTACTCTCTGCCGGTCAACAAGGGCCCTTCCCAGGGACAGTCAAACCATGACCAATGGGCCCGGGTCCACGGGCCCGCCACGGGCCCACGGGCCCACCCCAGGCGTGTGGGTGTATGTATGTATGTAGGTAGGTAGGTAGTTATGCATGTATGTATGTATGTATGTATGTATGTATGTATCTATGTACGTCTGTATAGGTCTGTACACATGTAAGGTTGGTCCTCCTATGTTTTTACGTGCATACTGCATACATATGTGGGTGCAAGAATATATATATATATATACATATATATATATATATATGTGTATACACACATCTATTTTCGTGTATATATATATATACACGCACATATATATATATATATACACACACACAAATCTGTGTATGTGTATACCTATATATATATATATATGTCTATCTATATATATATATATGCACATGTGTGTTTGTTTGTTTGTTTGTTTGTTTTATTGTTTGTTCGTTTGTGTGTGTGTGTACGTTTGTGCATGCACGCGTGTTCTTGTGTACGTACAAACATGTGGGCTATTCTCTGCTATGTACTTTCAAGCAGTCTCTTCCTTGTATTGCTCTATTGCGTCATGTTACGTTGGTTGTACAGGGATACGTTATGTTGTGACCCTGTATTAGTATGTATTTATCTATGTACGTATGTATGGTCATATGTGCAAACATAAAACATATGTACATACATGTGCTAATTTATGCTCTTGCTTGTAAGTCTGCATATATGTATATGTATATGTGTATATATTCCATCCTTATATATATATATATATATCTATCCACCGGTATATGTTTGTCTCTCTACGTGTTCGCAGCATGCATGTGGTATATTTACTAATATTTACGTGTGAGTGTGGAATATTCTTTGTTATGCTTTGTCTTATCCCGAGCATGGACGCAGGACTTTGTAAATAACAAGAAAAGGAGGACTCCACGTCTCCACCGCTTGCAAGTATCTGTCCCAGCGCGTCCCTCGCTCTGCCCATGACCAGTGGGCACACTGCCCATGGGCCCGCCACGGGCCCACGGACCCGGCCCCAAAACGGCCATGGTTTGCCGGTCTAGGTTGCACCGAGAAGTTTTGTTGGCGAGGTGCGTTCTGCAGGAACTCGAGGAGAGCAGCAAGGCCAGAAGTTTCCGAAGCGATGGCCGAATGCCAGTGTCTTCCTGTGATCTCGCGCAGGGTGCGAATACCGTGAGCCTTTCTCTCCAGGCAGGTAGCACGACTTTTCGCATCAGTACAGGATAGTATAGTATATTATAGTCTATTTTATTATAGATTATAGTATAGTATGGTATATGATAGTATTGTATAAAGCAACTTAGTACCAGTGTCCCCTATGCGGATTCAATGTCTGGCTTCGCAGAGTGGGTAGGCTTTACCAAGACTGTGTGGAAAGTAGATACTTGGAAACCATGTGAAAGCCCATGCCCAGCATTTGAGTCGCTTCCTCTTCTTGCAGGAGGAGTTGCAGCGCGTCTTCGTCATTACCGAAAAGCTCCGTCAAGAGCGGGAGGAGGCTCTGTGGGTCTCTGGGCCACTGGATCATGCTGTGAGCCCTAAGCGTGGGCGTGTGAGTTGAGGTTACCACCGTGACGGCCGACATCCAGTCCAAGCTTCGCGCCGCCGAGTCCTCCTTGGATGCCGCGAGGCCACAGCTTGGGAGTGGGTGCCCATTGAACGCAAGATTTGCCGGGATCAGCACGCAGGCGGCGGACGAGGGAGCTGGAGGCCCATGTGGAGGACCAGAGAGTGAGACTACGCTGCAGGTGTTCCTACTCCAAACTGGAACATTTCCCGGAAGGATGCACAAAGCGAGACGCTGCGTGCCCGCCAGCAGAAGGAAAGCTTGTTGCTGGAGGCGGGGTTCGAAAGTCGACATAAGGACAATGTCGAAGACACTTGGGCTTCCGTCCCGTCGACTCAGAGGAGCTGCAAAAAGGTACCGAGCGCCTGTGGGGGTGGCGGTGGCTGGCGATAGCAATTTGCGGCTGCGGTGTTGCTGCATCTAGGCGTTGATTCCCTCCTACGACTCTGTTTTTCCGTATGTCCTTCGTGGCCTTTTTTTGTGGCCTTCTTGTGATTGGCCCAAGTTTAGTTTTGTAGGCTTGTGTCGAAGGGGCCGCCTGTGTTAACTCGCATCTCGATCAGTGCTACCAGGATAGTCCGAGTCCCAAGCGACTTGGGACAACTGAATGAGAGCTGGGATTCAGAGTTCCAAGATGCAAAAGGCCACGAACATTTCTCGAGCTTGAGGTCCAGCAGAGCCGCGAGAAGATGCGTGGGCTCCGCAAAAGACATACGATGCTGGTTGAGAAGGCCGGAAGCCACTGATTCAGGTTTCAATAATACGCTGGGCCCCTTCACACATCTGGTGCACAGGTGCAACATGCGGAGAAGAGGCTACTGCGCGTCCCTGCAGTCGCTCCAGGAGATTTTCGGAAGGGGTTAGGGATCAACAACAGCAGAAGAGGATCAGCAAATAGTTAAAAGGATCAACATCTAACCTTTAGTATCAACAATGAACAGTTGAATAATTAGAAAGGATCGGTCAAAACATAAGAGCTAAGTCAAGCTGGCTTCTGCGCCATGTTTCGGCCTTTCGGCCCCTCGGCTTTGTGGCTTCTGGCTTTTTTGGTTTCTTGGCTTCTTGGCGGCGTAGGTTCTCGGGCTTCTGGCTTCCGAGCTTTCTCGGCTTTTTGGGCTTCTTGGCTTGGGTCCTTGGGCTTTGTTCTGTTGGCTTCTCGCTTGACGGTTCTTCTGCAGCCAACTTTCGCGCAGTTCTAGAACTGATAATGGCAAGTATCCCCCCACTCGATGCATGAGTGGTGAAAAGCTCGAGTCAGCGCGCTTGTCCTGGCAGGAGCTGCGACAGATCGGCTCTCAGTTTTTTGAGTTGTGAGCTAACTCAATCACCCGCAGACGCCAGCATGTTAGACTCAAGCAAGCTATATTTTGCACTGGGGCTGCTCCCCTTTCCCTCCCACTCGTTTGCCTTTATCACATTTGCAGGCAAAGTCCACAACAATGTAAGCGTTGAGGCCATGGTTGTGTGCTGGTCAGGAGAGGTCCCGACGTCATCGTGACAAAGACCCGGTTCCTGACAAGGCATGTTTGCAGACCTTGACACATTATCAGAAAGATCTGATTCGACATGTGTTCGTGTATTCATCACAGCCGCTGTGTTTTTTCGCAGCCACTGGAAGTCCTGCAGCAGCAATTAGGGTATGTTGCCAGGGCACCTTGGCTTGTCAACTTGCTTTGGTTGAGTAGTACACTGCAACATCAAGCCAGCATGGATCGGACGTACGGCGGTTCTGACTGCTGATGTGAGCCTTCTGTAGCCTTCGCAACATGGTCGACACCCGCGAGTCAACCGGGGTGTCAACGGCGGCTCCTCCCGCTTCCGCGGCTACTCCTTCATCGGCAGTGCCTGCTACGACTCCTGAACTGCGAACGCCGACAGCGCCGGCAACAGCCGAGCCTGCAGTCAAGGCGGTTGAGGAGACTCAGGCGTCCCAAGATGTCGATCTGGAGCAGCTTAAGAAGCAGCACAAAAACGCCTGTGAACGCGCCAAGAAGCTCGCAACAAAGATGGGTGGGGCTGATGTGACTTGTCCAAAGTGGTGCACAACTTCGAAGTCTTTTTCAGAGCATTGGCAAGTGTACTTGCAATCCTTCCCGAGATTTGTTGCGCTACAGGACAAGAAGTCAGCAGACTTTGATTCCGACATCCTTCTGTTGACTTGTTTTCGGTGCCTGCATCGCTACTACGATCCGTCGCCGAAGACACATCTTGGCAAGCGGGAAGAGTGGCCTGCCTCTTGCCTTGTTGATGATGCTTTTCAGCATCCCCCCTTCGAACGCCGAACTCACGAGAGCGTTCGGCGCAGGTTCGGTGCCAAGAGTCTCCAAGGGGCAAGGTTCAGGGCCTTCTCGCTTTTGACATGCACACATGGACGTTTCGGAGCTGGTGTCTTGGGACTGAGGTTGTCGCATTGGGAGCTGTTTGGCTGAGTGGCAAGATCACCAACCTGCCGAAGCGTGCGAAGATCATGACAAAGCTGCATGATGGTGTCGCAAATGAACGCACTTTGGAGTGCATGCCTATTGTTTTTGTTTTTCTGCAGCGCCTATTGCATGCTACATGCGAGTATTTCGTACTCTGCAATATTCTACAATTGAGATCTTGCCGCTCTCTGGAGGCAATCCCGATGCTCTTATGCAAGACTCAACCGAAAAGGATCACGACCAGCTTGTCGCCCGCATGCTCGGGTGACTTGCATGCATGCAGCATGTCTCTTGGAACATGAACTGCATCTTCTCGCCGCGCTCTCGGACTCTGAGGGTGGAGTCGCAGATGCTTTATCTTCTCGGCTTCAACTTCGCCTGCGAGCAATGGTCTCCAAAGCCAAAGCTGCAGAAGAAAGTGCATCGATCCTTGCCTTCAAGCCGAGAAGTACCCAGCTGCACATGCACATGGTGTATCATGGTGTCCAGTGACGACGTCATGATCGGCTATACCACTTGCGGTCGCTGTGAATTCCAATGAGGACCATGACATCAATGAGGACATCAACGATGACGATAATGACGATGATGGTGACAATCAAGATGGTTCTTAACTTCTCACCATTCTCACAACCATAACGACGACGACAACTGCCGTGATTATGAGGCTGACGCCAAAAGCACGACCATTAGATGTAAAAGTAGCTAGAACACCAGCGGTCCATGGAACCATCCTTGGGCATGGTAGTTCGATCAACCACAACAAACGTAGTAACGTCTTCCATTAGACACGAGTTCTTTGCATTAGAGGCGGTTAAAGTCTGGGCAACAACTCTCCATCGAAGCTTTTGGCTTCTTTGGGGCTGAATTGCTGCTGAGGACTGGTTGAGTACCTGTTCTCTCTGCCTGCATGGCAGAATGCTACTAGAACGCCCCAGCAAAAATCCCGAGATGCCGGAAGGAGCCTAGGGGTGGACGTTGCCGAGAGTCTTTCGTGCAAAAACACGCTGTGAAGCTGCAGTATCTTTGCCAACCTGGAGGAAGCTCATTCTGGCAAACGCACTTCGTTTTTACATGCAGCTGGCAGAGACGAAAGACATTGGGGACGTCAATACCCACCTCCTTGATGCGGTTATGGTCATGGCGTACAAATTCTACATAAAAGGTGGCCTGCTTGGCTTCTAGCTGCTGCTGGTGTTTCTGTACTGTTGTCTGACTGCCTGCGACTCCAAGGCGCCGAGTTCGCAGAGTCGCAGCTGCACAGGTAGTGTGGCTCTTGGGTTTACTGTAGGGTTTTGGGTGTCGAGAGCGGCTTTTGGATTTATCAGCGCCGAAGAGCGCTCATCTCCTCGTTGCAGTGAGCAGGGTGCTGTCTGGATGTATAACGCAAGCTGCACGAGGGCTTGCATGTGCTAAGGAGAATAGTGACGTGTTCGACCTTGTGGCACCTTGTCCCTGCACGCATCGACGTCCGAAGTCCACAGCAGGTTGCGTTTCGAAAGCCCAAACCGTGCAGCCAAGGTGCGCAGCCAATCGGACGGCGACCCGGCGAGCTTGGTCTCGGAAGGCTCTCCGAGGGACTCCGAGGCCACGCCCAGGTCGGATGCGAAAGAGGAGGAGGACCAGAAGGAGGCTCAGAAGGCAGACGGCGAAGCCGTCGCTAAGAGTGAGAAGGTCAAGCTCCGACTGACCAGAGAGACCGATGTAAAAGACCCGAAGGATGCCAAGCGGGACAGACCTGAGGAGGATGCGGCGACTAACCGGGAAGTCAAATGTAGGAGAACGGATAGGAACAAGGCGCTCATCAAAGAGAAGATGGAGATGGTCATGCAGATGTTCAGAAACAAAGGAGAACACTGAGCATGCGTCTGTGGAAAAATCGGTGGGAGCTGTACTCGCTCTTGATGCTGAACAGATTGAGCCGACGAAATTCTTGGTGCTGTAACTCTCCAGGTGGTGGCCCCTGCCCCACCACGAACTCCAGAAGAGCAGAAAGAGGCGCATGGCGATGTCATGGGGTGTCGTGTTCTGCATCCTTGCAGCAACCTTGCGTTCGGTCCACGTGCAGATGTCAGGACATAGCGTCTAAGTCCTAAGTCTGTTCGAAGCCACATGCTGCGATTGATGTCAGTGTGCCAGGTTGCCGCCACCCCGGTCGCCACTGTAGAGGCGGAGAGCCTCGCCTACCTGAGGCCATGGGGTTTCTTCGGATTTGTTCCAGAGGCACAAAGCCTGGTCTTAAACCCTCAACACGACAACCGAAACCCTACCCCACGAAAGCCTCAACCTAAGGCCCTCGCCCCTAAGCTCAATCGATGCACCGGAGTCGCCAAAAAGAAAAAAGCCTTGCCAATCTCTGCGGTGAAGAAATGGCGCTCGCTCCCCCTTCACAATCCCCCGCTGTCCCGCATCCTGCGTCTCGCATGCGGCCGGCAACCCATAACGTTTTGAACTTCTTGGAGAGTCCTGGTGGTGACTCTCTTGCCCAACTGAACAGGAGTAGGTTTGAGCAGCCAAGCCCAAGCGACACGTGCCAATCGTTGCCCACTCTATTTTTTGTTTATTCCTGTTGTCGTAGACATGTGGTTGCAAGCGTAGGGTGAGGAAAGGAGCCGTCAGCCGACCAAGTAGCTACTCCATACTGTTGTCGAGGGTATGTTGTGCGAGCCCCAGGTTCTTGAGACCCCTAGGAATCATGCAGTTGCCAACAGGGAATGTGTGCAGGGCAGGATGCCAACAAGCGTTCACTCGGGTTCAAGGGTCGAATTGAGTCGACGTGACCGGCCCCGGAAATAAATAAGTTGTCAGTTGTTGTTCAGCCGGCCGGGAGGAAGCAATACTAGCCTTTGCAAAAACCCTCACTCGAAACCCCCACACCCAACATCCGAAACCACAAACCCTCAATCTTAGAACCTTAATTCCCAAAGCCGCCTACCCTAATGCCCTAACTCTCCTGACGCCAGGCAATGGGTGGAGCTGGAAGAGGCGCGCCTCGGTGTGGCCCGGACACCTCCGAAGTCTGGCGCTAGGACGGGTTGAGGGAAGCAGCGAACGCTTTGGGCTTAGTGTTTGCACAGTTGAGAGAAGATTTGGCAGATTCGGGGTGCTAGCTCTGAGCCATCATATTAGCTGCCCGACGGTGCCTGCCATTCACGAGAGTTCCTGGATGCACAACATGCGTGCCCTGCATGGCACAAAGTTGGGCGTTGTGTAGCCATCGCTATAGCCCGCGCAGGTCCCTGTTACAGGTTAGGGTTTAGGGTCCACATGAGACGATCTATATTTTATGTGTGTGCAATATGTGTACTGACGTGCAAAAACGACCGAGCACCCTTCGTAGGTGTGCCGAAGCGTTTGGTTCAGTTTACGTTAGTATAGCCCTGTGCAAGTGTGTCCTTTTGAGTTTTCCAACTCCCAAAGTTTTGCAGAATTGCAGAAAATGATGGGATTGGGTGGGATTCTCATTGTAAGGATCCCGAAATCCAGTACGGATAGTACGGTAGTCCCAGCCTTCGGAAGCTTTCGGACCTGGACTTTGAGTGTCCCTCTCACTCTGAGGCCGAGCCCTGCCCCGAGTGCGTCCCACACCATGAGGCCTCAGGCTTTTAGGCTTGCAGTTTAGGCTAGGGGGTTCGCGGGGTATTCCGGGGGGGGCCGGATAAGGCTTGGGTTGAGGTGTTTGGGGGGTTTTGGGATTGAAGCGGTTTTGCAGGCGAGGTTTTATGTGTCTCTGGGGGTTTGGGGTTTGGACGGTTTAGGGCTTCGGGTTAAGGGTTTCAGAGTTCGGGGTTAAGGGATTTGGTGAAAAGTTTAGGCATTGGGATGTTTCGGGGGTTCAGTCGCGATTTGTGTAGTGTCAAGGGTTCAGGGGTCGTTGGCTGAGTTCTTCAGGGTGGAGGTAAAGGCTGCAGTAATGCAAAAATTCACGGTTTAGCGGCTCAGCTTCTGTGTCACAGATGACATTCGACTGTTTGGGTGTGTCAGGCCCTCCGCAAGTGCGACGTCCGGAGCTTGGCTCGCCGTGCTCGGGTCAGGCTTGCGGTTTTATCTGGGAGTCGCTTTGTCCAACTTTGTCCACCGACACTACTGGGCGGGACGTTCCAGCATCTGAGGGTAGCCATACATCTCTCACCGGCAGAGCCAATGCTAGATTTTCCGCACGGCAGCTTCTCACCTGTGCTGAGATCCTCCTCCGCTGCCCGCGGCTGAGTCAACAATTTGCAGCGTTGGACTCCGACTGTGGCAACTTTCTGTCTAGAGCCGGTGCCCGGCTTTGTGTCTAGAGCCGGTGCCCAGAGCAAAGAGAGGAGCAGAGAATTACTTCAGCCTCCGTCTCAGGCGCTGGCAGCACTTAGTGCCGGCGCCGACACGCGACAGGCACTGCAGCGGCATAGCACATGCATGCAGTCCATGTCGATGTGTGTCAAATAAACATGGCAGGTATTGGCACTCTTCGACAATCCGCCAGTGCCTTCGACGGCTTCCTAAGCCCGAGGCGGGCCTGAGCTGCAGTCAAAAATTCGGAGTGCAGCCAATGAGAGCCAACGACCGCGTTTCCTGATGGTGTGGAAAAGAGAATTTGATGTACACCCTTGTTGCCAAAGCCTTGGCATGAGCACTTGCCGCCGGTGGGCACGTGGCGGTCTGTGGATGTGGCTCAGAGCATGCGCAGATGACAGGCAATCGGTACGGACCGCAGCAAATCCGTAAATTGCCGCATGGTTTCCGAGGAGATAGACGATGTTGTTTTGAGACACCGAGATGTGAAAGACGCGAGACTAAGCAACGGCACCATACTAACACAAAGACAGTAAGCACAATCGTTTTCGTGGGCTCCATGTCAGGAGTGCAACAGAGCTAGCATTTGTGGTTTGCTGAAATACCAGCACGGTCCGGCGATCAGCATGCAGAATGGAAGGCAAGAGTCGTTTTTTTCAAACAAGACGCTTGGCTGTGATTGGCTGCTACCGTCCGAAGCGGAAAGGTCAAGGACCCCTGACCGGAAATCCTAAACATCAGGCCTCTGCAGAAAAGAAGCGACGACACACGGACCCATTTGAACCCTTGCCCTCTCAGTGCAAGCCCCCTCCCCACATACAACCCAGTGAACAGCTTTGTGAATCTCCCTTCCAAGCCCAGGATGGAAAATTTCCTTTCCGATGCGCGGAAAGAAGAGCAGGCCTTTCTACTGGCTTTGCATACCTACGTGCATCCACCCCGCACGCATGCACAAGTACGTCGATGTCGGAGATCAGCATCTGTGAGTTTCCGTATGTATATATTTATACACATCTTCACACGCACAGTTGATTTTATAATATGTTTTAGTGGTATATAAGGTATATATATATATATATCATATGTATATATATATATAGACAATGATAGATAGACAGATAGATAGATGCACAGATGCACACATACGCATGTTTATACGTACAACTCATACAACAACATAAATAAATATAAATATAAATATAAATATAAATATAATAAATAAATATATGTATATATATATATATACAAAAATGCATGCATAACTGCACATGTACATACACCCACGAAGGTATACATACCTACATATATATATATATATAAACATATGCACATAAGTATGTATGCAGGCATGTATGTACGCA